AAATCTCGTTCGGGCCATCTTTGATTGCTTGAAAGAGTGCTGAGACAGCCCCACTTTCAACAAGTTGTGTTGCATCCCTGTACGTTGACATCTCCTTGCACAAGTCACACAGAACCAAATTGGCAAACATATGGGTTAATTTCAGATTATATACGTGCCTCAGTTTACCTACACCAAGGTCAGGACAAATTAGAATGAGGAGAAATTGCTTAAAGAATAATAAAGAAAGGTTTAGTTGAAGACGTTACATACCAGATCTATGGAATGGAAAGCAAAGGAGTCGCAATATTCTATACCTTTTCTCAACCAGTGCTACTGCAATACCAAAACAGATAAACACCATTCATTCACGCTAGTTTGGCTTTACAAATATATATGGATATGATATTTATCAGCTGGCCTCTAAAATATTAAAAGAAAAGTTACTTCAAAATTATATCGTTTAATAAACATAAAAAAAAGACCTAAACATTTTTTATTTTTACTAAAGATAAGATGTTTTAGGTTTTTTTAATGAGAATTTATTAAAACAACATAATTTTTTTATCTTTAATAAATGAGATAAAAAAATGAATAAATTTTAACCATTAAAAATGTATAGGTGAATGATTAAAATTTTGTGTAAGCGTATCCGTACTATATATGTATATATATATAAAAGAAATAGTATCTATATGTCTTACTTCTAAAAATTATGAAGGAAATTATTTTAATGCCATGTAGTTTCAATAAATTTTCATTAAAAAAAAACTAAAATATCCTATTTTTAAAATATAAATTAAACTTTTTTTTTGTAATACTTTATTAAAACGTAATTTTAAAATAATTTTTCTTTCAATTTTTGAAAAAACCAAACAAACTCAATATTAATTTAAAAATAAGTTATTTTAGTCCTTTTCAACAAGAGTTTATTAAAACGATATAATTTAATTTTCTTTCTCCAAATTTTTTTAAAGATTCAACTAACAAATACTTTTCATATATACATATATATAATAGAAAATTGAATATCGGTCCCCACTTTCATACAAAAAATTTAAGTTCTAGCTTCAAAAACACCACCCTCCAATGAAAATTTTCAAAAATCAATAGTTAGATTTAATGTTTCATTGAT